CCCCCCCCAATTCATACAGGTCTCCCAAGTTCTAAAGACACATTGGGCTAGGGATGACCCGGACGCGACCCGTTCCATCTGCTTCTTCTCTGGGCCTTGCTGCTATCCCTTCCATTGCCGCTTACGCTCCGGAATGATCATACCGTATCCAAAGTGTATCTTTTCTTTGGCCGCTGGGTCACCTATTCAGTTAGGATTTGTATTAAAAGACCACCCAAGCAAGCTGTTAACCTTTTTCTTTGTCTGGAAGGGGGCCGCAGAGCGGGGCATATTGGCCCACGCTCTTTCCTTACACGGTAGCAGTTGCAGCACAGTTTGCGCCACCAAGAACGACTTCACACATTCTGCTAATTCTGTATGTTTGTAGCAGGGTCTCCCCCCCACCCCGGTTCCGGACACCCAGCCGCTGTTTCCACAAACATACAAGGAAGAACCTGCCCCTTGAGCTGTTCCAGCCCATCTCAGCCTTTCTGCGACGTCACAGGTGAGTGGTATCGATTTGGCACTGCGGAAGGAAGCTGCAAACTTTCTCGCCAGTGCAGAGAATGATGCACACTTGGGACTCTTTCAAAAAGCGTAGTTGTGTTTATCCAGTTGGATGTAGCCAGTTTGGTGTAGTGGTTAAGTGCGGCGGACTCTAATCTGGGAGAACCAGGTTTGATTCCCCACTCCTCCACATGCATCTACTGGTATGACCTTGGGTCAGTCACAAGTTCTCTCTGAGCTGTTCTCTCAGGAGCAGTTCTCGAAAGAGCTCTCTCGGCCCCACCTACCTCCCAGGGTGTCTGTTGTGGGGAGGGGAAGGGAAGGGTAAGGAGACTAAGACCCTCTGAGACTCCTTTGGGTACTGAAGGGTGGGGTATAAATCCAATCCCTCCTTCTCTATCTGCAGTAGAAGACCTAGATTCGAGTCCAGTCGCATTTTAAGAGACCAACAAGATTCAGGGTATAAGCCAGGGGTCCCCAACGTGGTGCCTGTGCCCACCCCCCTTCCTGGTGCCCCCTCCCAAGTGTTTTAGGAAAGTGGGCTGGGCCAGGTGCGGCTTTCGCTCCGGAAGGCTTCCGATTGGCCGCCAGAGATTTGATTGGCTGTGCAGGTGTTTTGAAACGTTGCTTTTGGGCAGCAGCTTCGGCCAAAGCGCGAGGATCTTCACCGGGCGCCCACTACGTCGGGGCAGGATTCCAAAGGCTCCCGCAGGATCCAAAAGTTTGGGGACCCCCTGGCATAAGCTTTCGAGAGTCAGAGCTTCCTTCGTCAGATACAAGCAGGAACGGAGATCCCCGAGTCCTTGTATCCGAGTCAGAAGGTGGAAGGGGGCGATGCGAAGAACGGAGTCAGGAGGATGCAAAGGTACAACAGGAAATGTAGTCAGCTTGATTAGAGTAGGGGAGAAACCCCCAGGGGCAGAATGTTCGAGGTTGTAGTGAGAGAAGCATCCGCGGTCTCTATTCAGCCTGGGCTGCCATCTACCAAACCAGGCCCTCAGTCTGTCAAGGTCAGTATTGTCTACTCAGACTGGGAGCCGCTCTCCAGGGTCTCAAGTGGAGGTCTTGGAATTCACTGCCACAGGAGGTGGCGGCGGCTACAAGCATGGACAGCTTCAAGAGGGAACTGGATAAGCATATGGAGCAGAGGTCCACTGGTGGCTATTAGCCACGAGGTACAGATAGGAACTCTCAGTCTGGGGCAAGTGATGCTCTGTATGCTTGGTGCTTGGGGGGGGGGGGGGCAGGGGG